TGAGAAACCACTTTGAAGATATCAATATGTAATACAACAAGCATTGTTAATTTCCTACCACTTTGTTTGTAACTCTGTATTGTGTGTACTGTTCTTTTGCTATTTTGTAAAAGGTTGTCTGTCTGTTAATGTTTTCCTACTTTTATTTTTAAAATAAAAAATGAATTACAGTGCACAGTAATATATGATTATATGTTAGAGTAACTGTAAGGACTGTATGTTTACCTGTCCTGCAGATGAGATTACTTGGCATAGAAATGATTGGCAAAGGCCCGTTGAAGAAAATGGAACTTTCACTGAAAATGAAATAATGAGCAGCAACAGATGGGGAGGTGTACTTTAAATAGAATCATTCTCAGGTTAAAAAAATCAGAGAATATAGCAAAGTTGTTATACTTACAGTTTCTATTTGCTACAGCAAAAGAATGCAGATTAAAATTAACAAAGGAAAAGGCAGAAGAGGGCAAGGTATGGGAGAATTCCAAGTGTGAGCTTTCAGTTGTCTTTTCCCAGTGGAATTTTATGGACAGTACTTTTTCCAGCAATGATACATAGCAGCACTCAGAACTGCTAATCAGGGGAGAACTGCTAATCAGGGGAGTTCCCTCACGCCATGATATCTGGGGTCTTTACTTGGTTATGGTCATGCGGACATGACTAATGCCTATGTAGGTATGACTGCCTGCCTACGTTGCTAAACTTAGGGGACCCTTGAAAGCTAACAGCCCAAAGTCCCCACTATAAATGACAGTGTTCTCCCTTTTGCTTGTCTGGGTCATCTTGTCTGCCCCTCACTGGCCTATCTCTCTCTCTGGTCCCATCTCTCTCTTCTTTTTGTTTATTTAAAGAAATAAAAGAAGGAAAACATATTAACAAACAGACATCCATTTACAAAATAGCGTAAGAACAATACAAACAAAACAGTTACAGACAAAGTTGTAGGAAATTAACAATGGTTATTGTATTACTTATTGATATCTTCAAAGTGGTTTCTCAAGAAAACAGAGACATACAAGATTGATCAAACAAATAATCATTAACTGTTCCTTTCCTAGAGCAATAGAAGACAGCAGTACAACTATGTTAGCTATCTTGTGTATACATACTTATATAATTTCCCCTTTCCCTTCTCTTTTCCCTCACCCCAGTTGCCCTTCACTTTCAAGCATTTTCCTTTTGTTTCACAATGTCTGTCATACCTCCTAGTTTTTATTCACTCTTTCAGGTCTTACACTAGTAAGAGAATATGATGCTTACACCTGCAGGTCTGATTTATTTCACTTGTGAGTATGGTCTCTAGTTGTGACCATTTACCTATAAAAGCCTCAAGTTTATCCTTCTTTATAGCTGAGTAATATTCCATTATATAAAAGTACCACA